ATAAAGACCTGTCCTCAGATGTGACGTCAGATGCAAATGGTCTTTGATACATGTTTTAGTCATCAGGAATAAATTGTAACAAGTCCCCTATCAGGCCCAAAAAAAAAGTCTCCGGTTTCTGGTATGCGCGCGCGTCGCCGTAGCCATGCGCGTCGGCAAAATGAAAAAGTTTTTTTTTCAATCAAAGATGATGTCTCAAAACCGCCAAACTCACTGGTTTGACTGGAATCCTGCTGCTGCACAATTTTAACGTGTTTTTAGATGGGGTTATGATCGACATTAAGCTTTATGTGGCCTCTCCGGACTCCCATACATTTGCACTAAGTTTAGTCGGGCACCATTTGCAGTCATCAGCCAACATTTGAAGCAAAAAAGAAAGTCGCCGCACCACTTTTTGGGCAAGCTCCATACCAGAAACCGGAGACTTTTTTTTGGCCTTATCTTCAAGTAAATTTTTGAGACATTTTGGTGATAAAAAGAGAGAGGCAAGTCTGTATTAACCCTGTCTTTCGACTTGAATCCTGTAAGGCATTTGTGTTTACATCTATAATTATAGTTGGCGGTATAATAACAGGCTTTCGTACGATGCCTTAACATGCCACATACATCCACAAGTGTAAACATTGCGCGGATTAAAACACGTGAAAACTGGATATTACATGTATTACGTGTTGAGAAATGTGTTCAAACTTTAAACACAGTTTTTTCAGGGTACTTGCACCATTATAGCTTCACGAGGTTAGCTGACTTGATAGCTTTACTGCAGAATAGCGGTACAAGAACGGATGGCTGTTAATGCACCGTTTTTAAAATTTTCCTTTTTCTAAATTCGCAGTCGTTTACCGAGGAACCAGTTTTTGGCAACCGACCATCTTACAAGCTGTTCTCGTAAAATTACTACTTGTCTGCACATTCATCCCGACGGGTGACGGTAGAACAAATCGCAGGATTTAGCAGAACTATACACTGTGTTTTATAGGTTAATACTAACGTTCAAAGTGCAAAAACATGTTTGTTTTATTCTCAGAGCTTTTGTCTATTCCCCCATAGAGCTATATTAATTTAATATAGCTCTATGATTCCCCTGTATTTCAGCTATAGACCTACACTCTTAAAGGTCCGGGGTAAGATTCGACCCAAATATGGGTCAAATTTGACCGTGTCAAAATGGCACATATCCGAGCCACCTTTCTTGGCCATTTGACCCGAAAAAAAAAACGCGCCAGAAGAGAATCAGGTCAAATCTGATCCGGATTTCGGGTCAAATTTGACCTAACACTTTTCCGTGTCAAAATGACACTTCTCCGAGTCACCTTTCTTGGCCATTTGACCCGAAAAAAGGCGCTAGAAGAGTATCAAGTCAAATCTGATCCGGATTCCTGGTCAAATTTGACCTAATACTTTTCTGTGTCAAAATGACACTTCTTCGACTCCGAGTCACCTTTCTTGGCCATTTGACCCGAAAAAGCGCCATTATAGTATCAGATCAAATCTGAGCCGGATTTGTCGAATCTGGCCTGAACTTTGTGGGTTGATCCCTGTAAACGCATTGTGCGTATGTGCAGTAAGAAATATATGCCGTTGTAGTGTGAAATTTGGACTGTTTGAAGTATGGGCACATCGGTTGTATTGCGCATGCCTAAGTGAAGCTTATTAGGACAGTAATAGGTCACGTGTGAGGGTTAGAATCCATGTAAGATATAAAAGTCCAGATTTCATTATGACACCGGCTACTTTTGGGTTCATCTCAAGCGGTATTGGGTACCGAAGTGAATACATCACGCCCACGCAAACACTGGCAAAAAAGAAGGTGGCGGGCACGCGCGTGTGTATTGTAGGGCGATACGATTGTCCAGTATAGGTGAATAACACTGCATGCCATGTTTACCTATGTACACGTACGTGAGTGGCTTCACGGGCACATGCATTTGAGCAACCATTGTAGGCGGTCGACTGAGCAACCTTACTGCAAGGCGTTACCATTGTCCAGTAGAGGTGAATATCTTCGCCTTTTTTGCAGCTTTTTCGAGAACCACTCGCCCAAACAACTTCAAACTTGGCACAAACTTTGACGTGAGTGTGCGTTCAACCTGTGACCATTGAATCGCGTGCGTTGTTTGCACGAGCAGTTCTCAAAAACTCTACAAGTATGCAACCAATACCAGCGGCAAAGCAATTTGCACTTCCCGAACATGCACATTTTAGACGGGCACTGCACCAGTGTGTGTAAAAAAGACATTAACGCGTGATTCAGCCCGTGGACCAACACGCGCGCGTACTCCATTTGTTTGCGCTACACTTCCCGGTTCAAAATGACGTCACACTTCGATACCCTGTAGAGTTATTTAGAAGCCAGTGTCAATGCCTAACAGAAATACCCTGAATTTTGATCCGATATCGTAAATTGTTTGTTCAAAAAGCACAGTCGTATTTGTAGCACGCCTGAGACGAGAAGCTGTCCCAATGAAACACAGTGCAGCCGGAGTTACAGTATTGCTAGTATATTGTTTGGCATTTCATTTGTAGTTGTTATACTTGGTTTGAACGAGTCTGAAGATTTAATTACGCAAGCATTTTACTTAGCATACACACATTTTTTTGTATCATGTTAGTAGTATAGGAGGCGTCGATGGGACCCCTATTTGTGGTGCTACTCGGAGGGTGGGTGCAGGTGGTGCGGGTGGTGCGGGTGGTGCGGGTGGTGCGGGTGGTGCGGGTGGTGCGGGTGGTGCGGGTTGGTGGAAGTGGTGCGGGTACCGTGGTAGCGACGAAGTCGCAAGCAGGGCTTCATATACCGAGCCACGTTAGTGGCGACGGTGAGCTCACGCTAGTGAACCCGAACGGAGTGGGCAGTAGCGCAAGCCTGGAGACTTGTCTCGAGGGTTGCGTGCGAGCGACGAAGTCGCAGGCAGGGCCTCATATACCGAGCCACGTTAGTGGCGATGGTGAGCTCGCGCTAGTGAACCGAACGGAGTGGGGATAAGTTTCAAATCTGATTGGTTAATTCAAATAGTACGCTTAATGCCGATTGGTTAATTTAAATTATACAGTCGATGGTGATTGGAAGATAAATGTATATGTTTCTAAATATAGACACGTCTGAGTGTGTTAAGTAGAAGACGTTTGGGTACATGACGTGACAGGTAGACTCGGGCGAGTCAAAGACAGCAACAGAAGACGTCGTAGATGTGACGTCACAAACAAGTTCGGACAAGCCCGGAGGGAACAATGGGAATAACCCGTAATGAATAGAGATGCTTCGGACAAGTTAAAACCCGCAACGTAATATAATGGATTGTTGTGGATACGAGAGGACTGCGTATAAAAGTCGGAGCGTTTGTTTTTTGATGGTCATTCGTCTGCCTGCCACTGAAGACATCGAATTCTCTGCAAGATAACGCAATTTTCTGCACGCAAAATCAAACAAATTTGCCCTCTAAAAGAGATGGATCCAGGACCAATCGTACCTCCATCTTCGCCATCCATTGGTTTAGAAAATGGGCCGTTTGAGTGTGTGAAAAAGTTAACTCACACCCAGGTGAAAAGAGGCTGGCGCGAAGCTTACAGCGCAAGTGAGAAGAGACCGTATTATTACAACGTTTTCACCCGAGAGAGCCTGTGGGCCATACCTACCGTCCAACCAGCTCAACAGGAGGAGAGTCAGGCGGACTCCGGGCCTGCACCGGACTTGCTGGCAGCTGCCATGGCAGAGCTGTCCGGCAAACCACCCATGAAACTCGCCGAACCCCCGTTCATCAAGGGAAAACCCGGCAAGAAGAGAAAGTTCAGCCCGGACCCCGAGCAGGAAGAGAACGACAGGAACGCCGTTAGATTCCACATTGGAGGTGAGCGTTATGTTTATGTCAAGCGCTTCAAGGGTCACGTGTACGTTAACCTACGAGAATACTACTTCAACGAAGACAAAACTAAACTACTGCCAGGAAAAAAGGGGCTGAACCTCACGGCAGAGGAATGGATGAATTTGTCCGATCGGAGCAAGGCTATCAACGAAGCCATAGACATGGTCTAAATCATCACAGTATCTCAACGCTTACTCTTTCCGTTTCTTTTTTCTTAATTTCACTACAGAGTCTACGAATCAGGACATTGTCGATCGACGGGCACGGGCAAGAAGACTCACCAAGCGAATCTTGACTAAGCTCATCACGGACGAGATACTTCGGCTAGTCTACCGTGCGCAAGAACAACTTGGCTGTGAAGGATGCGAGGAGGACTGGACAAGTCAATGGGACCACGCATGCCTCTTCTTCGGCGTGAATCCTGAGAACCGCATCGATGATTTCATGGACGAGCACTTCGATGAAGCAATCCAGTCACTAGACACGGGCAGGGTTCTACCTATGTTTCACGCAGTAGCTGCCCTTTTGGGCGCTAGTTCATTCAGCGGCGAAGGGGTGGACTTGAACGCCGAGATAAACCCGATCATTGCAGACATTTTGACCGAATGGAAGGCTGATCAATCAGATATTGGCACTTCGTTCTATACGATGCTTTTCGATAACACCACTGAACTTGTTCAGTACACAATCAATCTCGTCGAGTAACATTTGAAATAAGCAAGAAAGGAGCACCGTTGTTATAGTCTACTCCTGAACTAATGTAGTTACTTATTTTCAAAAGCTAAAAGTTAATACTGGTTATTAATGGTGGTGGGTAAAGTTCCAAGTTTGAATGAAACAAAAAATGAATAAATAAAATGATTGATGTAGGGCAAACAAAATCAGAAAGTGTGTGGTGTATTCATTTGACGATGTCGGGGTGAATTTACTTATTTAAATTAATAAATACAAGTTAGACTTTTAATAAATTGTGTTTTTACATTACTTTTAAAGTGGTGGGTGGATGGGTTAAAGCAAAGTAAAATAAATAATTGTTGTATACATATAGTTATACGGTCTAGATCGTGTTTTAACAGATGGGAAGACTTTCCCACGGGCAGTGCGGGTACTTACTTAACTCAAAGACCGGCTGTATGAGAAATGACGGTAATGATCCTATTCACCGGGAACTTCCTTAGAGGGATTATCCGCTTCTTCATGCCCAAGTGTATTGTTACCATTAACGAAAAGAACAAGTCGATTCACGTCAGTCGAGTGACAGCGCCACCGTGATCATGTTTCAATAGATGGGAAGACATTCACACGGGCAGTGCGGGTACTTCATTACTCAAAGTCCGGCTGTATGAGGAATAATGGTAATGAACCTATTCACCGGGAACTTCGTTAGAGGGATTATCCGCCTGTTCATCCCCAGGTGTTTTGTTACCATAACGAAAAGAACAAGTCGATTCACGTCAGTCGAGTGACAGCGCCAACGGGTCCATTATGAAAACGTTTTTAATAGTGTTCATTCGTTTTGAACGTACGCAGGACGGGCATTTACGTCTCACCCAATGAAAAGCTTTGCTTGCCACGCTCCACCCACAGTTACCGCCCACCATGACGCGAACTTGGTGTTTTGTAATATAAATCTCCCACTATTTGGGAGATCTAAATTAGGACAACAGTCGATGGTTAATGTGGGGGGGGGGGGAGGGGGGGGCAGGGGGGCACTTTGCCCCCGGCAGACTTTTTTGAAAATTATTTTTTTTTTCAGCAAATATTTCAATAAATGGTTAGATAGTTCTGAGAGTACCCATTCCGATGCGCTGTGAAAATGAGCATATACATTGTGTAATTTGCAGTATGCATAATAATGGTCAGTTTCGAAGAGCGCCCCCATTTGGAAATGAGTTTTTCGGCAGCTTGGAAAGTATATGGTCCGTCGACGCAATTTTTAGACAAAACATTATCCCGTTTTCCAGAACAAAAAGTGATGAAGTTAGTAGGTGACTCTTCCTTTATTGTTGACCTGTTTCAGGTGATACAGAAGCGTCAGAACGGCTTAGTGAATTTCAACCGTAGCTGGGCTGAGTACCGAGATGGCTTCGGTGATATGACGGGAGAGTTCTGGCTTGGGAACGAGATAGTCCGCCAGCTCACATCGGAAGGCACTTGGGAACTTCAGATGTTCGTAAAAGAAGCCAAATACACGATTAAAATAAAGTTTGGAACGTTCAAGATCGCAGGTGACAACTTCACACTACATGTGAATCCACTGAAACCATGGCAACATCATTCTTCAACAGGTATATCATCTGATCTACTTGTCAAAATAAGTGTGTTTCTTTCATTATAATCCCTCAAAAGTGTTTTAACTTTTACTTTTGTTTCAATACTTGTTGTAGTAATAGCCTTCTGAAACAATTTAAAAAAAAAATCAAAAGCAGTCTTGTCCAAACACCGAACACCAAAGTCGTCCTCTGTTTACATTACGTCACTGAAGGGAACTCAAGTACTTGAAATGACGAAATACCATGTTTATACAATGCATTACAACGCACGAAGTGCACGAAGCCTCAATAAGCAGGTCCACAATACCCTTTCCAAATGCATCACCAAGCGTTGGATGCGTGTTCTTGTTATTACCTTTATTCTTTATCCCTTCAATCATTGTGTACACAAGGACTTAGTGTGATCAGCAATTCAAATTAATGTCATTGAAACCATTGCACGTATGATTGACATAACGTAACATATTTGTTTTACGAGTCTATATACTTGATTATTCACCGAGTAAAAAGTCACGATGTACGTTTTACTGGTCTTTGATGAACACCTGTGAAATTTGCCAGAAAATAGCCACTTTGAGTTTACGATTCCTCTACACCTCGACTTCGCCCAAAATAAGATGGAGTTTACTTCATAAATGCACGTTGTGTTATATTGGATTGGTATCAGTCATAATCAACACTGGTTACCTTGGTTGTCGAATGTTTGCAGTTAATTTCAGCTTGAAGTCGTGGATTCGCATCTATTCGGGGAAGCTTGTGAAGTTTTTGTCTTACTTGCTCAATGGAGCAGCACACTGCTTTTCGATAAATGTCAACGCGTACTATTATTTCTTGTGTGTTTGCTAGGTAACTCTCTCCCTGACGTTTCCTCAGGCCAGCAGTTCTCAACTTACGATCGCGACAATGACGCCGATGGCAACGCCAATTGTGCCGCTCAGCTGAAGGGAGGCTGGTGGTTCAAGACTTGTACTGGAGGAGTCGGGAATGTGGATCTCGTGCCGACTAACCTGAATGGGGAGTATTCCTATCCAGTCAACTACACGGGGCAAGATTACCGCGGTGTGAGGTGGGCTGGTGCGCTTGAGTTTGGTAACCAAATAATATCTTGCCACCTCGCGATTCGTATGACTTAAGTTTCTTGGCCTGACCGTGAGGGCTTTTCGGTTTGGTAAGAATAAAAAGAGCTGTTTGTAAGACTAAAAGAAAATAAAGTGAACTTGTCGAATTATTAATCAAGACTTGGTATTACACGAAAATATATTTGAACAAGATGAACTGACGAAGAAACCAGTAAACTGAGAATCTAGAGTTTAAGCCGTCAGTGTTATTATACAATTACTTTGTATTGGCTGTCAATTGTAATTGTCACCTGTAAAGCGCTTACAAACCTCAGGTTTACAGCACTGTATATAAGCACTACATTTTACCTCCATCAAAGAGGTTATGTTGTCATCAGCGTTGGTTAGTTTGTTGTTTGATTTGTTTGTTTGTTGGTTGGTCGGTTGGTCTGAGAACAGGATAACTCAAAATGTTACTGACGGTGTCATATGAAAATCCGACTCCTATGAAAATCCGGACCCCTTTCTCCCCTTAATTGGTTAAGCCCTCGCACGTGACAGGTCACTCTCCCATTATGAGCCTAAAAATAGCATATTATCGTACCCTCGCACGCGCAATACTACCAATGAGTCCACATTTGATGGAGTCGTATAGTCACGCTACAACGGATTTTTATGAATTTGTTTTTAGGAGTAGTCGTTGGTGCAAGTACAAATCGATTAGATTTTGGAAGTGATCCATATCTGTGTCTGGTAGAAGATTTGGTTTAAATGATTCTGCACCATTTTGTATTTAAACTCTGTGTACAACTGACCAGCTTCGTGGGCGTGCACTGACCTTGTGACCTTGTATCCCTTCAGCTAATTTAACCACACAGGTCAATGGAGTAGACCATTTTAACAATGGGGGAGTGGAGAGGTAGACCGACACTAGCATATACATGTAGACTACAAAATGGTTGAGTTTAGGATCAATTTTGTTTTATTGAATAGCTAACTATATAAAGCGGTCAACATTGCTATTTTTTTTGATAAAATCAGAATATGAGCAATCAATTGACATTTTCAATGTGAAATAAAATATTGAAGTCCAATGGATATGCCAGTATTTCTTTCAGGTGTACTGACAATATGGCGGGGAATTGTTCAGCCTTGGCGGAGCTTTGCGCTCTCTGAGTGCTTTCAAGTTGTTATTATTACCCGTGATAACAAAATCGAGAATTTCATGTTTTTATTCGAGTAAAAAGTATCTGGTCAGATTGACAAGGAATCCGGATTCTATAGGGTGTCTCAAAGAAAAGGATGCCAATTTATAAATGATTCTTAATTTCGGAAAGCGACATCTACAAGAACAAAACTGCTAGAACGCCCTCTATCGAATAGTATTAATTTTATGTCATTGTCATGGATGACTGAGCAAACATGGTTTTTACGGAAGAGATCAAAATATGCACTTTAACAAGTTAGTACACAATGGAAAAATGGTGATATGGACAATGATTTACTGTCAAATTTGACATTTCCGGGTCCAAATGACACTTCTCTGACTTACCTTCTGGGTCATTTTGACCAGAAAACCTTGCCGAAAGTGGCATTTTGACCCCCCAAAAAGAGTCCATTTTGACCCTGGAAGTGTCAATCTTAAAAATAGAAACCGGATTCCTTGTTTAAGCCGACACGGGCCTTTTTAGAGTGTATGATATTGCTTTTAATATCAATCTTTATTTAAAGCATCGTTTTATGTTAACTTGTTTAAATGTTTGACTTGTACGGCTTTCGTGGGAGCTGTTCTTGATGAAAATCATCACAAGCATCTCCGGTCACAGCCAAAAACCGAACATTTTGCCACCACTGGGGCACAGTGACCACAATACAGTGCAGTGGCAACCAGTGACGACTGTCTCCTAAGGTGCAAGATGATATTAACATTGCAATGATGTTGACGGGTTCGACCAATTCGAGATTCGGCACTTCGAGAGTTTGGCCAATGGATTGTTCATCATTACTGGATGGAGGTACGGAGTGTACAAGAAGTACATTCCAAGTGTGACGCTATGTGTGCAATACTACACAAGTAAATATGTCTTCATTTTCCCGCTGTGATGTGACATTGCATTGCAGAGACAAACCGTGGATGACAGCAGAGTTCAAATCCCTGATAAGAAGGCAACAAAATCTGTTCAGAAGAGGTAACGTTCAATGGAAGACAGTCAGAAATAAAATCATCCGGCTAATCTCCAAGTCAGAGCAGAACTATTACCATCATCGAGTTCAGAAGGTCAAAGCTTCGAACCCCGCAACTTGGTATCGGGAAAAATTCGGACAATGACAAGAGGGTCTAATTCCATTCCCTCAATAATTCTATCACCATGAATAGATCCAGCGAGTTCTATAAAACAAGTGGCTGATCGAGCATAAATAACCACTTCACATCAGTCGCAGAGGACATCCCTGTTTTGGACATGAATACTTACCAGTATACTTACCTGCACAGGAACCTTGTCCAGTTCTACAAGAATGGGATGTCTTCAACCAACTACGGCGTATCAACTGCAGAAAAGCAGTTGGTCCTGATGGCATTCCAGCGCTATTTACTTGCAGCCTTTATTTCAGCTCCCTATATCTCACCTATAGAGGGCAGCATACGGGTTACCTGCGTGGTGACACTTTCGACAGTACATGCTTACGTTTATACCATTGCGAACTGTGAATAATTGGTTTAACTTGACTGACTCACTGACGTATGACGGACTCAGCCGAGGACCCTAATGCTGGATAGGGAAGAGTGGAGGGAGGCTAGCAAGTCCCGAGATGGTGTAGGATAGGCTGCGCCCTCGCATCGCATCTAGCCATTTCAGAACCAATGGGGCTTAAAAGTCAACACTGCATGGCGGCGCCATTCCCGATGCCTCCAATCGGATTTTCGTGTAGAAGTTACAAAAATTGCAATTATTTTGGATTCATCGACTATTTAAGAAAATCACCTTCCGAAATGCCTTCATGAAATCTGGGCCTATATATCGAATCGATTTATGTAGTGACGCATCCATGTCTTGTGTGCTTGGAAATGAGGAGGGAGACAAAGGAACATAATCTCAATAAACAGAACGGTGGCGCTTTTATATCTTTATGTTAAAAAGTAGTCGAGACCGGATAGTCCGAGACCGAGACCTGAAGTTGCGAGACCGAGACCGCAGATAATAAATAACACTAATCTCTTATAAAAATAAGACAGTAATTACAGCTGAACAGTCTGTCCTTGAGATGACGATGTTGATGGGGATGTGAAGGAAGTGATTGAAAGCTAGCAATCACTAGTTGTATCTGCTTAATTGTGTCATGTGCGCTTCATGTTTGCTTCATACCATGAATTACAACATGACAACCGAATTTGTTTATTGTCACAATTAATTTAAAAAAATGGAAACAACCTAATTTATAGAAGGGGAAACCTAATTTGATGAACTCCATATATTGTTGCCACTTTTTTTAAATACAGTTTAACTACTATAAAGTGTAAATCTGATGAACTCTAACTTAGGAGTACGACATTTTGTACTAGTTTTTTGTAATGCTGAAACTTGACAAAAGTAAAAAGTTAAAGGTGGATGTTTCATCTATTATAGGAACTCGGACCCTAAACTCCACAGCCACCCCCTTGGTTTCAGCAATGACTAGTCTAACGACTAGATACTTAAATGCAACTTGATTCCAAAATAATTTGGAGCAAGAAAATATTGATCTATTTTTAAAAATTTCAGTCATGGAATATAGACTTGTACATGTAGACCCAAAAATTGAGAGATGGTAGCCAGATATGGATTGGTCTGCCCCCCCCCCCATCCCTCTTTGTGATTCTCCTTCCAACCCTGCATGTTTGTGTGGCCCCGACATGTTTGTTTCTTAATCGCTATATGCCGTTTACGGCCAACACAATAAGCGATTAAAATATTGGCAATGTCGTCCTTGTAAATCACTAAAATATTTAAGTAAATCGCCCGGCAAAGTAGCCGATGCAGGCGATACGCTGGCACGGTACAAAACACAGAGAGGCGTGGGCACTGAGCCATGAATCCTAAAAGTACATCTCGCCCACCCCATTCAGTTTGTGACAGCGCCCTTCTATTGTGTCAGCCATAATTCTCAAAAAGGCTAATGATGATGATGACGGCGGGAAGATTAACAGATTAAAGTTAAACACAAATTAAGTGGCAATACATTTCAGCCTTAGCCAGGCCTTCAGAGGTAAATGACAGAGAGTTAATGGAACAAAAGTCTTCTCGACTCATGCAAACGCAATTGACATTTAGGAAGGAGACGAGGCAGGCAATTAGACTCTATTTTTGTGTGACCATGGCAGTAGCTCAATTTGTGTTTATAACAGATGAAAAGATGAATACATGGCGAGTCAAAAAGAAAGTGACCGTATGATAAAAAAAATGACACACCCCATTTTGTAAAAAAAATATAACTGTGATAAAGAACATGTTATTGAGTAGTAGCCGTGAAAATGTCACGTAATTTGCATACTCTATTCCCAAGTCGTGTCTATTTTAATAAAGAGATCACAAAATTCAGCTGTCCACCACTAATACCAATTTAACGGTCTACGAATTGATGAATATCCATTAAAAAATATAATGAAAAGAAAAATGTTTTTCCCGCCACCACGAATAAAGGAAAAATTGAAAAGGAAAATGAAAAAAACAAATCACCAATACAGAATAGAATATAATAGAAAAAAAGAGAAGACAAAAAAATGAGAAAAAAAAAGAAAAGAAAAGCAGCGAGAAGTCATATTGTTGTAACTTTAATGGGGGGGGGGGGGAGGACTGATAAGTCAATATGTTGAGAAAAACAGGATTTTTTTGGAAAATTTGTTTGCCCAGCCCCCTCTAGAAAAAATCCTGGCGACACCCATGTTTCCAGCTCTTTCCCGAAACTTTTCCTTTATTAGCTCCACTGCGAATGTCTGTCATTACGCTCAACGGTGATCATTCGAAAGTATTACGATTGTTCACTTTGTTTCGACATACCAAACATTTCAGAAATTAGTACAGAGTTTGGATCTGGATGCATCTTAACATATTAAGCGTAACTACCTTTCAATTTGTTTGGTAATAATTTACCGATCCGACTACCCACGTCGGCCTTGACATTCTGCAGCGGTTTAGGCCAAAAAAAAAAAAATATTCGGTCTCTGGTCAGACCAAAGTGTCGGAATTGACGCGGCGACGCGGCTTTTTCTTCTTTTTTTTCTTCAAGCTTGGATTGTACAGACAAGGTGGGGTACTATTTTGCTTTTTTGGTGTCCTCATGTATATTGGTGTCCTCCATTATTTGCCTTGGTGCTTTCGATCATTTGCCTTCTTGGTGCAATTTTCCATTCCTTGGTGCTCTTTGGTAAAACAAATTGAGGAAGTGCGGCAATAAAGGGCGCTGTTGGAGCTTCCG